CCTGAACGTGTACAGCAGTGACCCCCAGGACACGGCCTCCCTGGTGGGCGTCACCAGCAGCTCCTGCCCCGCGGACCTGACCCAGAAGCAGGAGCTCACAGGTACTGGCCCCCCACCCGGGCACCCTGGGTTCCACCGCCTCCGCCCCACAGCCCACAGCTCTCTTCTCCCTCGGCCTCCAGATGCTGAGAGCCGGGCGCTGGCCAAGGAGCGGCAGAAGAAGGACAATCACAACCTCAGTGAGTACTGCCCGCCCTCCCTCACTGTCACCTATACCGGCCTGCACTGGGGGGGCTTCCTTCGCTCCAGGCCCTCACAGCCCCCTCCCTCCCTGCAGCAGGACGCCTTCAGACTTTTCCCAGTGGTCCTTTTTAGGAGGGGGTGGGTGACTGCTGGGAAGGGCTGTTCCCGAAAAACCCTTTTTCCAAGGATGACCTTCAGGCCAGGACCCTGGGGCTGTTGAGGGAAGAGTAGGAGTTCACCCCAGGCAGAGGGCTGGGCCGCCTATATGGACTGCTGCTCACAGGCCCCTCATTGTGACTGGCCTGAGTCCTTGGGAGACCCAGTCTGTCCACTGGGCACCCCTTTCTCTCCCGGGCGGGGGTGCTGCCCCAGGCAGGGTTCCCACCCTCTTAACTGCTGTCTCTGGAATCTGCCACCTGTAGTTGAAAGGAGGCGTAGGTTCAACATCAACGACCGCATCAAGGAGCTAGGAATGCTGATCCCCAAGGCCAACGACCTGTGAGTGGGGGCTGGGGCGTGGCGGCTGGGAAAGAACCCTACAGCGGCTTCCCACTGCCTATCAAGTGCCAGACCCAGCTGGGGTCAGGGGACAGGCGTGGGGGGATCCGGAGGGTTGTGGCCACCGCCGGGCACGCGCCTCTGACACCCAGCCCGGCCGCAGGGACGTGCGCTGGAACAAAGGCACCATCCTTAAGGCGTCCGTGGACTACATCCGGAGGATGCAGAAGGACCTGCAGAAGTCCCGGGAGCTGGAGAGCCACTCGCGGCGCCTGGAGATGACCAACAAGCAGCTCTGGCTGCGCATCCAGGTCTGGCCGGGCCTGGCTCACAGGCGGAGCTGGCCCTCACCGCCACGCATCCCGGAGGTGCCACGGGTCACGTGACCTCCGGGCAGGGGGGTACAGACCTCCTGTGTCCACAACTGACTGGGGACCACCCCTGTCGGAGCCGGGAGCCCTAGTCCTGGCTCTGTACTCAGGGCCGGTCCTCTGTGCCAGGGCGCCTGGGCCCACAGCGGCTCTGCAGTGCCTGTTTCTCACAGAGGTGATACAGCACCCACTGAGACCCAGCACACAGCCACGGCTCCAAGTGAAAAATCAAAATTTCATGAAAGGAAAGCCGTTCTTAATAGAGGCAGCGCATTGCAATCATTTCTATTCTGGTCCAGTCTAGACAAGTCTGTTTCAATTTGAGAAATGGAGAGAGAGGGAGAGGGAGAGAGAGAGAGAGAGAGAAAGAGAAAGAGAGAGAGTGAACCAGTCAAGGGCCAGGACCAACCGAGGTTTCTCAACCCACTAATGAGTTGTGACTTGCATTTTTAAAGCAGCCCTGGTCTAGATGCTGGAGCGGCTGTCCTGGGTGTTGCGGGGCCGCCCGGCAGCTGTGCCCAGCGCTCTGTCCCCTGCCCAACAGGAGCTGGAAATGCAGGCGCGGGTGCACGGGCTGCCCACCACCTCGCCGTCGGGCGTGAACATGGCTGAGCTGGCCCAGCAGGTGGTGAAGCAGGAGCTGTCCGGTGAGGAGGCCCCAGGGGAGACGCTGATGCTGGGGCCCGAGGTCCCTGACCGCGAGCCGCTGCCAGCGCTGCCTCCCCAGGCCCCGCCGCCCCCATCCGCAGAGCCCCTGTCCCCTTTCCATCACCTGGACTTCAGCCACAGCCTCAGTTTCGGGGACGGGGGCGACAAGGGCCCCGCAGGCTACCCCGACCCCCTGGGGCCCGAGCACGGCTTCCCCGACCTGTCCAAGAAGGATCTGGACCTCATGCTCCTGGACGACTCCCTGCTGCCGCTGGCCTCCGACCCACTGTTCTCCACCATGTCCCCTGAGGCCTCCAAGGCCAGCAGCCGCCGCAGCAGCTTCAGCATGGAGGAGGGCGATGTGCTGTGACACCGGTGGCCCCGCGCTGGGGACAGGGCCGCGTCCTCCCTCCCTCCCTCCAGGCAGCACCTGTGCGTGAAGCCGCCCGCCTCGCTCCCCGGTGGCCCCTGTTGGGAC